TTTAATGGTTTTTTTTTCTGCATCCGGCACAGGATTATCACATGGAGTTGGGTGCATTCTCAGTATAATAACAACTAAAACCGGGCAATGTTAAAATGGACTCTCGAGACTCTAAATAGACCCTGCATGTAAAATCGTGAGTCAATTTTTTTTCCCCCGCGCATCCGGCACGGGATTATCACAATGCATGGGATGTCATTCATTGCATCCTTCATTCATTCATTGGACGGCGGTGTCCCCTTCTGACAGCAAAGCCGAGGATGATGACGAGCGGATGCTGGCGGTCGGATGCAGATGCGCTATTAATACGACAGCAACCCGCTGTTACATAATGGCCGAGCCTCACGCACACGTGCACGCGCGCGTGCACGCACACACACACACACACACACACACACACACACACACACACACACACACACACACACACACACACACACACACACACAGTGCACATTTGTTGAACTCTGGGACGGCAGGTCTGGATTAAAGGACCTGAGACGCTCCGACTCATGGGGACATCTGGAGGTCCCTGACGTGACTGACATCACAATTGATCCTGATGCACACAACAGAAAGACATTTTGGTATACTTGCAACATGTATCATACACGCAATGCGGGACATTCTGCTTTTCGCAGTGGTGGGTCATCATGCTCAGTTGTTATTGGCTGTAGACGTGGAACCCCCATGGAACAACGCACTAATCACAGACACGTAATTAGATGGAGGGAGAGAGAGAGAGAGAGAGCGAGAGAGAGAGATGAATGGATGGATGGATGATAACCAGAAAGAAACATAAAAAGAAAGAAAAAAAATGGGTGACGAACATAGAGATCGACAGAGGGAGAGAGATGGTATGTTTAAGTGGTATTTTTATTACATTCGTGTTTTTAGAAATGTTCGTCTAGTTTGCTTCAATTCATTTAGCGTGTCATCACTTTTTTTCTTGTTTTTCGAAGCAGTGTGTGACCGTGTTGGGTGCGCGAGCTCTCACGGAATTGCGTCACCGTGACGTCACGTAGAGCTGCGGCCGGATAGGCGGGCTTTCGCGTGACGCTACGCACGACAGTGACGTCGACCAACCTGAGATGACGCCAACGCAGGAGCCTTAAAGGGCCAGTCACCAAGTCTATGAAACTCCCACCCAAATTACGATGAATTATTAATTTACTGTCATCCATTTTGGAACCTAGTGGCTCAACTTTCCAATTAATTATTGCTACTCCATTTCCACCCCCCCTCTTAATGTCCGAAATGGACTCGCCTGCTGGCCCTAAACCCCTCCCCCGCCCATGCACGGCGTCCCTCTTCTGCAGCAGCGGGCCGCGCGCAGGAAGGAAGTCATCGCGCACGGGCAGCAGCCAGTCGGCGGCTTGTGCGGCTAGAATGACATAACGGGTGAAAAAGAGGAAGAGGAAGAGGAGAAACCAGGCATCGACGCAAAAAAAAAAAAAAATTAAGCCTTTATACATCCACTTGCCCAACGATGCTCATCAAGGAATTGTAAGTATGCGTGTGTGTGCGCGCACGACATTGAGGGTGGAGGATGAGAGAATGAAGAGGAGGTGGTGCGGGTGGTGGGGGGGGGGGGTATGGATGTCATATTTCCACCGCATGAAGTGCGGGAGGTGATGTAGGCTGTTGCATCATCATCATCATCTTCACCCTCACGTGCTCAGGCATTGCGGTTTGTGCCCTTCACATTCTGCACATGGAATGTATTACTTAATCGAAGGAATGCGTAAAAGACACATCCACATTCCTCCCCATGTTCTTGATGGGCGCACGGTGAAGGTGAAACCCCTTCACGGAGCCGATCCGGAATCATGTGTACAGCTAGGAAGCAATCAAAAAGAAAGTAAAGAAAGCATCATGTAAGGTATTTTTTTAGAGCCTTTGTCGGCATGCCCAAGATTCTAAAAATGATTGTTAGTCGCTGAGGCCTGCTAGCAGCAAGGGCAAGGCCATCTGCTCACACCTAGCCTGCCTTCCCTTTTTTTTTATGGCGTGGTCACGTGGATTTAATCAATAAATTGTCACCACCACACAAGGGGGAAAAAAACCCAAAAAGTCATGACATGCAGGGATTAGGAAGAAAGTCTGGCCCTCAGCGGTCTGCCTGGAAGTGAATTAAAAAGCGTTAAATGCTGTCAACGCTGATATTTGACATGCCCACACCCATCAAAATAATCCAGAAATACTGCGAGATTAACAATAAGGATCCTAATAGATGAGAAAGAGTCTGAAATGATGTTTAGATTCTGACTCCCAAGATTTGACCCTTTGATTCTTGTTCTTCCTTCTTTAATTGTGACCATTATTATTATTTCCTATGGTCCCGCATGCAACAGCTGTGCCCGTTTGGGGTCGAGCCACAGATTAGCAAACGGGGAAAGCGGGATTATGCCAAACTGGGCATACGCTTCATATTTTGGGACTGCCATTAGCGTAGCGCTCAAGCACGATTTTGACTATGGGACAACGTGATGCTGCCTTAGAGTTTGTGACTGTCAAATTCATCAAGGTCACAAATTGAACCCCGGTGACCAAGTCGTATGCGTGGTTCTGTTTCGACACTGTGTCAGTGGGCTCAGTCAGTCAGAATTTAAACCAAAATGTGTTATGAAACAGGATGCAAAGTGATCCGGGTGGTTCGGAGTACGCCGTGTCAACAATATGGTCAGTCAGTAAGAATTAAAGCTGCAAAACATCAATAGCAGGGAAGGTTGAATTATTTCAATAGCATGGCAGCACGTTTTTAAACTTGACTACATCAACGTGTTGCTCATTTGAGTTGGTCGCATTGGTCAAGAGCACACCACGTCAACAATGAGCTCAATCAGTCAGAATCAAAGCCACAATGTTTTTTTTTTTTTTTTTTTTTTTTATTAATGGCCGACTTCTTTTCTCTCCCGCAGTCGGGTGATTCTTCCCATCTCCGTGGAAGAGGTAAAGTGACATTTTCAGTCTTTTTGTATTGTGCACAAGGCAGTCAGCGAAGTCACCCAAGGTTGTTTATTTCCGGTGCATGTGCACAGCGCTTAACAAATCAACGAAACCGCCTTCACCTTATTTGTATACAGTGCGGACTCGTTCGTGAAAGGAGCGATTTTGTTTTATTTGTTTGTATCCCGAACTGAGCTGATGTTTTTTTTTTTCTTTTGCTTTTTGAAGAAGTTGATGTCTTCAATCGAACAATTATTTTAGACTCTCAATCTCCGGCGGCTCGTAGCTGTCCGTCCTGTTTCATTTTTGTTCCGATGCAAAGCCGAGCGCAGTAGAGCCTGAAGGGCTCTGAGATGAGTCTCCTCCGTCCGTCCTTGACCTTCACATCTACTCGGACCGGTCCCGACACAAATGTGTGACGGAGACGTTTTCCCAGAGGGCGGAACTTGCCACAGACTATACTGGGCCTTGTTTTGAAATTCCCTCAAGAAGCAGTCGGGTTTCGTTTCCAGTCTTTTAGCATGAACAGTTTTTCAGCACCCGAAGCATCGTCGCGCAGTGACATTTTCTCTCATGGAGATTTATTTCACTTGCTCACGTTTTTCCAGCTGCGTGTTGCTAGGAAGAATTTGTAGAGGAGCAGTCATTTGCCCGTGGCGGGAAAAATGGCTGCGGACGTTCCTCTGTATTAAATATAAAATGCAGATTAAATCAAAAAATAACAGCAGAGTATTTATGACTCCTCTTCACAGCAGGCTAAATTTTTTTTTTCCGGTTTAACTGTCCTGTGTGGAAGTTACAAATCCTTTTGTGCTGAACATAATTGTCCTGCGGACATCCCCTTGCATCTAATGATCTGAATGCGGCAAGCTGCAGCGGTTGTGTGAACGCACACTTTTGTTGAGTAGCGTCTGAAAAGGAAAACGCGAATGATAAATCCCGAGAAATCTGGAGACATCGCCGTGCCGCGTCTCCAGATTTGTGCCGAGGTTACGCACGCAGTGGATTAGATGCGATTAAGAAAGAATGGCCGCCATTGTTCTGCACTTTTCACAGTCACGTGGATCAGCAAGATGGTGGATGGTAGGTGCGGGAATAATGGCGGGGAAATAAGCGCTTGAGAAAGAATAAAGTTCATCTAAAAAAAAAATAATAATAAATTAAGCAATAAATAACACATTAGCCTTTTTCTTCCCTCGGCAGTACCAAGTGGGCCAGCTGTACTCGGTGGCCGAGGCCAGCAAGAATGAGACTGGAGGCGGCGAAGGCGTGGAGGTGCTAAAAAACGAGCCCTACGAGAAGGATGGCGAGAAGGGGCAGTACACGCACAAAATCTATCACTTGCAGAGGTAAGAGCATACACGCACATTTTAATCGCCGGCTCCTTTTAAAGCCTTTGTAAAGAAGGACGGCTTGGAAGTGGGCCAGCTTGACTGGTCAGTTGTGGGTCACATCAAGTTTGGTCCGAATGTCTATCATGAGTAGACCCCCACAAAAACAAAAAACAAAAACATCAACAATCCATGCCAGAAATGTCAGCGGAAGTCTGCCATTTTGGATGAAAGCGGCCATTGTCATTTCCGAAGTACTCACCATTAAACACAAACATTCTTTCAAACTCTGCCTTTGAAGCCCGTTTCAATGAGCAGCAAACGTGTTGGCAGGACATGCTGATCATGAGTACACCCATACAAAAAAAGTTTAGTCAAATATTGCTCCCCAATTTGAGCCTCGTACACCACAAACCTGCGATCCATTTCCCACTCAGAAGAGAGTCACAAGCGCCCCCTGCCGACCAAAAATATATAACAGCAATAACTCAGCTCTTGAAAGCTTATTCCCCCCC